AATTTAATAACAATATTGTAAGTTACTAATTAACACTTTCATTTTACAGAGAGCAAAGAACATTTACATTATCAAAGAACATTTTCCGGGTGTGTGTTCACAGTGTGTGTGTTTACTACTACGTGTGTGTGTGTGCACTTGGATGGGTTAAATGCAGAGCACAAATTCCGAGTATGGGTCACCATACTTGGCCACATGTCACTTCACTTTCTTCACTTTCACTTTCATTCAGTCTAGTCAGAGTTCAGGCACTCTCAAAAAGCGCTGTACAAAGGCGTCTGTCTCTGGTTTAGCGCCAATTTAACAGCTGATGCTGTGCCGCACTGAACGATCTAATCACACTGGTGTGATTATATCAAATATAAAAAATATTATTCAGCTATTTTTTGTCTTTTGGAACCTGCATTCAAAATCCACTTGGCTCAGAAATCTGAGGGGGCACGTGCCCCCTCACTTTGAATGGGCATGACGCCTCTGGAGAAAACAACCAATAAAACAGAACTACAACACACTCATTATACAGACAAATGAATATTAAAATATATTTAAAAAAGAAAGAATAAAGGCATTCACTTTTTGTTTACTCTTTGAATTTTCGGTCTATATATCATTGTTTGCTGTGTGTCACAATAATCCATCGTGTGTCATCTCGTTCATAATCAGACGAATAGCTGTATCAGCGCCCTTATTAACGCACATTTAATTTGAAGAAGACGTGATATGTGCGCGTCTACGGTGCGTCTACGCGATACGGTGCTGGTTCATGTTTGGAGCTCCAGAGAATATGAAATATGAATGAAACACGTTTGCTCTGGTCCGGATATGACACGCGCAGCGAGTGTTGTTTAACTCGTAGCGGCGTTCGCACAGAAACCGTTCTCTCATGCGCGCTCCACATGTTGTCATATTAAATATTGTTACAGTCGTGTTTACAGAGGTGAACCGACGGCGCAGACGCTCTTTCATGAGATTTTAATTCTCCGCTGTAATACAACCTCATGCATTATACAGCTCAGTGATTGTATCGTAAGACTTCATTCTCATGAATAATACTGAGCAAAGCTCGGAAAATTGATGACGGAAAATTGATACTCTCCAGCCACGGCAGCCAATCACCACTGCAAATTAATGCATATACGTCACTTTTCGTGACGTTGGTTCAACTTTTCTTTTTGAAGCGGAAGAACGAAATTGCTCCAAAAAATGAAAAAATAACCACTTTTACCTTAATAATAGACATAACGAGTGCTATTATTGTTTTCACTGATATGCAACCTGTTCATATGTTAACGTCTCAAAAAATGTGTTTTAGGGTTTCATGACACTTTAACAGTTCTAACAACTCTGCTAAAAACTATGGGTTCTCTTCATTGGCTCCTACATTGAGGAATTCCCTACCCTCTGAGATTAGGAATGCAGAATCCCTTAGTGTTTTTTAAATAATCCCTTAAAACTTACTTTTTTAGGGTAGCTTTTATGTGATGACTTTGTCTTTTATTATATTGGCTTTGTATTGTTTGGTTAGTTTTTTACTGCCTGTACTTTTGTGTGTATCTTTTAACTTCATATTTTTATATGCATGTAAAGCGCTTTGAGATGCTACTTTTAAAGGCGCTATATAAAATAAAGTTTATTATTATCATTATCGTAGGCAGAAATCAGGAATCGCATGTTCAGAGACTGTTTATGATTTATTGGATTATAAAAAATGAGTGGGTGGATTTTTACTATTATAGGCTGGTTGTTTTCACACACTGCGGCCACACAACTGTGTTCAAACATCTTATAAAAGTGATTTTTGCATAATACCTGAGGATCCAGAGGGACAGAGAGTGAAGTGATGGATAGACAGATAATAGACTAGGGATTGAGAGAGCGACAGAACCAGGAGGCAGAGGTGGGATAGGGAGGATGGATGGGAGCTTGAGAGGTCAGAAGGGTCAGGGCTGGACAGAACCAGCAAAGACACAGAGGATTTGGACTCGGCCTCCGGGGCGATAATCCGCTATGTCCTCTTGCGCTTTGGACGCGGCAGGCTCCTGCTCCGCGTCCGCTGTGGGCTCAAGCGATAGCTCTGTCTTGCTGGTGGAAGACTGACTGGGCTCTGGTTTGTGAGTGGGGCTGGTCAATTCTTCCTCATTGGCATTGAAGACGTGAGTGAGTTCACCAGCACCCATTCCACAAAAGTAGCGAGGCTCCCTCGAGGACCTTCCCCGGATAATTTCACCTTCGTAGTGGTGTTAATTCCCATGAAATAAAATGTCGTCAGGCAGTCATTCAGCAAATGAGTGTAGTAGGCGAGGTCCAAGAAATCCTGTGTATGGTCCTCAAGGGAGCACTCCCCCTGCTCCAGCAGGAGGTGAAGAACAGCTGGATTGTCCATAGTGCACTGAACAGAAAATCAAACAAAAAAACTGAAGCTATATATATTATAAATTATGTGCCAAGCACAGAAGATGCAAAACCATCAAATATATTTGTTAATTTCTTCTACCATGTCTATACCAGGTCTATATGGCAGCCCGTAGAACCACTTGCTGAAAAGTTATGAAATTTGGCACTCAGATAGAGGAAAGTTTCTATATTAAAGGAATAGTTAAGCCAAAAAAGAAAAATTGCTGAAAATTGAATTGATGAATTTGTTTCTTAATTGGAACCGATTTGGAGAAATTTAGCAATATATCGCTTGTATCACTCAACAATGGATTGTATCACTCACCAATGGATCCTATGCAGTTAATAGTTGCCATCAGAATGAGAGTTCAAACTGCTGCTAAAAGCATCACAATAATCTACATGTAATCAACACAACTCCAGGCTATCAATTAACATCTTGTGAAGTGAAATGCTGTATGTTTGTAATAAACAAATTCATAATTAAGTTTGTTTTATCTTTAAATTATTGTATCTGGCCAAAATATTGATAATCCATAATAATGCATCTTCCTTATTCTGAAGACACCCATTCATTGCAGAAGATCCATTGGTGAGCAAGTGATGTAAATAAGTATTTGGTGTTTTTGTGTTATTTGATAAACACCATAGTGATTAAAAAAAGCTAAATGGCTGTTTGAAAATATTGATATTGTTTGAAAAGATAGAAATAATGGACTTAAAACCATTTTTTAACTGGTCAAAATGATAGTGTTCTAATAATTTTGGCCACCACTGTACAAGTTATCATTAAGTTGATGGCATGATGCCCAAATGGATGTTGTGTCACTCTCACCCAACACTGACCACACCAGATCATTTTGGTGGTAGTGCCACCAATTGGTCAAAAGTGATAAGCAATTGCACATTACACGTGATAGTATTTTTTAATTGGTCGGATGCTCCCTGCCTTGCTTGCTTACCTCCTTGTTTTGCCTTTGTTGTGCTTGGCCCCTTAATTGCTGCTTGCAGGTATATTTGATTTTATTTTATTCTTGTTATTCATATTTTAGTGCTCAGGAGGAGGATGAGGCCTACGAAGAGAACCATGTCACTCAGGAAGTGGTGGAAGAGCAGCTGTTGCGGCTGGTCACACGGGAAGTCATGGACCTTCTAAGTAAGTTACCTTTATGCCTGTGAAGCTTTTCAAGTTTGATTACATTTTCTATACAAAAGAAAAAAAAACTTTGTTAACATGTTTCCAGGTGTGACTTGCATTACAAGAAAATTTCCAGAGCTATCTGCAAACAAAGAGGAAGTAGATGGTGAGTCTCTTCCATGCCTCCTTGTTCTTTTTTGCTGAAGACAGTTATTTATAACTTGGCATAAAGAATGGCAAATATTTCAGCTATGCTCAAAAGCACAGGGACTAAGGTGCAGAACAGTGGTAGCAGTGCTGTGGACTGGTATGTTAATTTGAAATATTTAGCTCTAGAGGTACAATAAAATGGAGCGGGAGAGGTGCAATAAAAATGTCAATATCTTAAACTTCTGTTTATTGCAAATGGGGACTGGCTAAAATAGTAGGTTTTACAGAGGTCACAGCTACAGGCATTAAAGGGGTCATATGATGTTGCTAAAAAAGAACATTTTGTGTATTTGGTGTAATGTGTTTATGCGGTTTAAAGTTCAAAAAACACATTATTTTCCACATACTGTACATTATTGTTTCTCCTCTATGCCCCGCCTTTCTGAAACGCGTAGATTTTTACAAAGCTCATCGGTCTGAAAAGCCAGATTTGCTCTGATTGGCCAGCTATCCAGTGCATTGTGATTGGCTGAATACCTCAAGCGCGAGACGGAAATGTTACGCCCCATATATTAACTTAATAATAATTCTACTCATTCCCGCAGGTTGTTGTTCCCGCATCGCTTATACCGCGATGACATGACGGAACGTATCATTTGCACGTGCTTTCGAGTCTTGAAAACTCACTCGTGCACTCTCATTTTCTGTGCACCCACAGATCGTGATAAGGAGAGTGACCGCTTTTAATAATTATTAAGGGAGTTTGCAAATGTGATATTGATTTAATACAACAGTTCAATAAACAAGTATTACATTTGACGAGTGCTTGTGGTGTGATCGGCCAATCACAATGCACTGGGTCAGCTGGCCAATCAGAGCAGACTGCGCTTGTCGTAAGGAGGGACTTTGTAGAAAACGAAGCGTTTGAGAGAGGCGGGGCATAGAGGACCTACAATAATGTACAGTATTTGAAAAATAATGTGTTTTTTGAACATTAAAGCATGTCAACATATTCTGTTACACCAAATACACAAAATAATGATCTTTAAAAAAGCATCATATGACCCCTTTAAATCCATTTTGACTGAATTCTGTGATTCCATCAAAAATCATATCACCCTAAATTTAGGCCTATGGGTCACAGACCCCAATTTGAGAACGCTTGATTTAAGTAAAGACATTCTTTATTACTGCTGTGCTGTTTGGAAATGTCTGAACCTGTTTATGCTTTTTTCTTGTTAATTTAGCCACTATATCAAATAAATACCTCAGGTTGTGTTTGTTTTGTTCTAAAAGAGTCAATGTAAAAAAAATCTAGCTGTTTTAAGGCCTTTCTATAGGTAAAAATACTATCCTTCCACCCAATGTGAAATACCTCTAGTTTTGTTTTCTACCAGGTGCACTCCATTTTTCTGGATGCTCTTATAGGGGGCAAATATGTTCATTATATCATGGTGTCAGACTGTTCTCCTTGATCTTTATGATCAAATGAGCTACTGTGTCTCCAAAGTGCTAGAAAAAAAAGAGAGTCTATAGTTTTTGCTGTCTGGTATGGTGAGGAGTTTAGATAAATCAGTAAGTGTACTTACAAAGTAAACTTTAGTGGTAGAAGTGATATTTCTACCATATTTGTAACAAGGAGTTGATTTTGCAGCCTTGACTAAACAGAGCATACCAGAGACTAGATAATGATCGGAGATGTCATTGCTCTGCTGCAGAATTAAAAATGTTAATTGCCACATTCAAATAAAGATTTTAAAATGCTGACTAAGTGTCACTAATTAAACAAGTATATGCTCAGCTAATTGTCAGCCTCTTACATGTATGCTTCTCATAAACAATTAGTGAATATGCATATATACAGCCTTTTAATTAACAGAGTAGAATAATCATGGCTGATAGTAAGACATGCAAACGTAAAAGAAAAGCAAACTGGACGCAAGAACAGCTGTTACTTCTTGCCCAACTGGTTAATGAGAACAAGGATATAATTAAAGGAAAATTTGGAGCTGGGATAACCTCCAAAACCAAAGGCGATACCTTTTTAAAAGCTCATTATAGTCAAATGTTTCTAAAATGTTTACGTTCTGAGGCAGATTGCCGGCAACAGCCATTGTAGGATAGTTTGTGGCTTGGTCTTAGTGACTTAGGAGTCCTCTTCACTACTCCTAACCCTTTTTAAAAGCTCATTATAGTCAAATGTTTCTAAAATGTTTACGTTCTGAGGCAGATTGCCGGCAACAGCCATTGTAGGATAGTTTGTGGCTTGGTCTTAGTGACTTAGGAGTCCTCTTCACTACTCTTAACGTTTCACAGATTTAGGAGCTAGTTTTAGTGCTAAAACGCTTTGTGAAATACTATTGGAGCAAAAAATTATCTTTGTGTCCTAAATTTAGGACTTAAACACGCCCATTATTTTAAAGATTTTCTCCTAAATCGGCGAGTTATGAGCTATTTGTAGAATTAAAGGGGTCATATGATGCTATTTTAAAGATCATTATTTTGTGTATTTGGTGTAACAGAATATGTTGACATGCTTTAATGTTCAAAAAACACATTCTTTTTCAAATATATAACCTTTTTTAAAACAAAGAGCAATAGAAAAAATTTTTACGTTTAACCACTGTATTTTTAAAATAACTCAATTTATTGAGACAAACAACAAATTTTTTTTTTGTTTTAACAGTCAAATGCAAAATAAAAATTAAACAAATATCTAATTTCTAATGTTTTATATGCAGATTAAATACAGTGAAACGGAATAAACCTCCACAAATTCGTGACGTGTTTTCTAAAAGTTTAAACTGTTTTAACTTTGCGTGGCTTTACATCACTTGTGTGACGTGAGTGCAGCAATCATATCTGTCCATCTAGAAAATGCGCTGAATATGCGTTCTGTGTGAATGGCTTGGTTTCGGTTTTAACCTAATCAAGATCTTCTACGCATTGAGCTACTATATTTCTCTAATATTTTGAATGAATAAGGCAGCAACGGCACGTCTCGTGGGCTAGACTAACAAAACATTAAACTACAATGTCACTTACATCATCATCACCGCATCTCGTGCTCCACTGATGACGCTCCCTGACGCACATCTAACATTGGATTGTACTATGATATATATATGACTCTCCTGACTATATGTTTTAACTCCCTTTCCTGGAAAGACACTATAAACTGTCAACGGTGTGCTAGTGTGCTTTGCTGGACTTTGCTAAAACAGGTACTGATTTTTCTATCTCTCCCTCTTAGTGAAATTTTTTATCTAGAACAGACAATTCACCAAAATATTTCTGTTAGTTTGCAGTTATCAATTAGAATTGCATTCTAAAAATGACAGTTTTTTAAACTTTTGAATCCTTTGCCTTATGAAAATACTGCGTGTCTATATGTGAATGAATTAATTTGCAGGTGCTTGGCTGTAACCTTCTCCCGGATGCTGTGACATGGCTCTACACCAGTGTACTGAAGGGTCTGCAGATGCATGGACAACATGAAGGCTGCAATGCTGCGCTAACTCAGCTGGCCTTGCTCATCTACGAGTCTCTAGTGCGTCATGCCAGCTCAGCTGTGATATCTTGAATGTGTCTGGGAAGCACATATGTCATTTGGCAGTCGCAAAAAGATAAACTTCATTTTTGTCCTCTTACTGGCTATGATAAACAAAATATAAATGAAAATATACAGCTCTGGAAACATTTAAGAGACCACTCCAAATTTTTATTAAATCAGCATCTCTATGTGTATGGCAGCCATTCCAGTGTCTGTTGAATTCCAACACAGGCACACCTCATTCTGCTTAATGAAGTACTGATTAGGCGATCACCTCAACCAAATCTTATTTAACGAGGAAATGTATAAAAATCACTGCTGTGGTCATCGCTATCCTCTAGCAAGAGGACCATCTGGATGGCAAAAACAGTGCTAGTAGTACCTCAAAAGTAAATGGAAACAAATAATAACTACTGGCCATGCCAAAAAACTTTTAAAAGAAAAGTTTTGAGTGGGGAAAAGAAGTGTTAAATTCTGGCTTTACTGGCAGAAGGATACAGTGAGTGTCAGGTTGCTTCCATCTTTAAAATTTCAAAGATGGGGTTTAATAAGAACAAGGACAAGCTGCAGACATTGTGGAAAACAATGCTACAGACCAGAAGAGGGCGAAAATGACTCCACTGACTGGGATGACTACCAACTCATTCGAATGTCACTCAGCAACTGTAGGATGACATCAAGTGACCTGCAAAAAGAATTGCAAACAGCAGCTGGGGTGAAGTGCATGGTAAGGACGGCTCAAAACAGGCTCCTAGGGGCCTAGAAAGGAGAGCCAGGCTGAGGTTTGCAAATGACCAGAAGGACCATCTCTGATGAGTCCAGTTTTCAGTTTTGCCCAACACCTGGTCGTCTGATGGTTACCTGGAGAGGCCTACAATCCACAGTGTCTCGCACCCAATGTTAAATTTGGTAGAGGATCGGTGATGATCTGGGGGTGCTTCAGCAAGGCTGGAATCAGGCACATTTGTCTTTGTAAAGGGCGCATGAATCAAGCCACGTACAAGGTTGTCCTGGAAGAAAAATAGCTTCCTTCTGCTCTAACAATGTTCCCCCAACTCTGAGGATTGGTTTTTCCAGCAGGACGATGCTCTGTGCCACACAGCTAGGCCAATCAAGTGGATGGAGGATCACCAGAATAAGACCCTGTCATGGCCAGCCCAATCTTCAGACCTGAAAATCTCTGGAATGTGATCAAAAGGAAGATGGATGATCACAAACCATCAAATAAAGAAAATCAGGGTTGTTCCACCAAATATTGATTTTTGAACTCTTCCTAAGTTAAAACATTATTATTGTGTTGTTTCAAACTTGAAAACACTACATATTTTTTGTCATTTCGACCAGTTGTCATTTTCTGCAAATAAATGCTCTAAATGACACGTGTTTGTCAGTAGTTGTCAGTACAGATAAAAATGTTTTCAGTAGATTATATATTAAAACAAACATTTTAATCAAAGTTCATTTTACTCAAACACATACCTATAAATGGTAAAAACAGAGAAACAGAGAAGCTAATTTTGCAGTGATCTCTTAATTTTTTCCAGAGCTGTGGAATGTGTGAGCCTTTGTGTATTTGTTGTTTGATAAACACCATAGCAAATACAAAAATTCAAAATACAAAAATTCAAGTGGCTGTTTGAAAACATGTAAACACTGTTTGACAACTCTGTGACAAGTGGGTGTCAGAAACACAGAGATGTCCAAAGCAGCTTTGTTTACAGAGCCAACAGGGGTAAGCGCTGCATTTTTGCTCTTCCATAAGCACCACCTACTGGTCAGAGAGTGAATTTAGATTCTCATTCAACCTGTTTGCCTTTTTTGGTCACACCAACCTGTAAATTGGACCCAATTTTTACACCGCATACGGTTTTATAATTTCACCCTTTGATGAAAAAGAAGCTCTGTGCATTTCAAAACTCTAGACAATACGGTTTCAAGAATTATTTGCAGTCTTTTGAAGTGCTCACGATAACGATACTGTACATGTTTATTACTGCAATATATCATGTTACTAAGTACCAGCAGATGTCTATTCCTATGTAGTTGCATAGTCCTATGTATCTTTTGTTACTGCAGATGCTTTAAGGATGATTTAATTGAACTGTATTTGGGGTTTATAATTCCTGTTTAGAAGGAATGTGTTTAGACTGATCAATACTGAACTTGTTTAATGTCAAATCATTTTTAAGGCTACACCAGTGATTTAATCACAATTTTTAAATATAGTTTACTGTCACTGGCCTCCCATGGTTCCTTATCTTGGCTGCAATTTGTAGCCAGTAACCACGTCCATCAGCAAAGGTGTTTTCAGTAGCTTGGTGTTAATTTAAAAAGTTTTTCACAATAAGAAATAAATTGTTTTTGTGAAGTCATCTTAAAAGTGTATATTCACGCAAAATATGAAGACTGTATCATAGTTTTTTTTTTTTTTATAAAAAAATTTTTAATTGCATGTGGTGCAGGTCACCCCTTTTAATGTATTTTGTCGTGTTGAAAGGATGTTTCGACACTTGAAATGTTGCTCTCTATAGCTCACTAGTGTCTGTGTAATTTACGTAAGTCAGAGATGATCATTCTGATTCTCATAGATGGCGGTGAGGCATGTAACACCACTGTGGTATGTTTTACTTTTAGTACACAAAGAACAGTGATGTTAACACTAGCTAAAGTACTACTGAATGCACCTTTAAATGATTATGGTAGTGACTTAACGCGTTGGTGAGAAAATGTAATTAACAATGATTTAGTAGTTTTTCATTCTGATGTTTCTGTACAGAGGCCTCGATACAATGAGCTGCGTTTCATCATGAATCAGATCCCTGATATCCATGTTGAGGCCCTGGAGCAGTTTGATCAGAAGACCATACAATCCACTGTATCAAAGGCAGGAGAGAAGAAAAAGAGGGAGCAGTTTAAAAGGCTCATTGCAGGCACTGTTGGGGTATGGCCACTTTTCTTTACTTTCTTTACATTGTCACCTGTGCTCATCACATTGCACGTGATCCAGTTATTTTCCATTTTTGATAATATTGGTTGACATTGTTAGTGTCTTTTTTCCTTAGTTCTGACTACACGATTTTAGCCCGATTTTGCCACGATTTGCTTGACGTAGGGTGTCGTGGGGATTCGTAAACGACAATGGGCGTCGGGACGCAAGATTCCATCGTTTCAGCTCGTGTAGTGTGTCATAGTGGACGACAATCGATTCCGCGTCTGCAATGCATCACGACAGAAAGACTAGCATGTTTAATTTTTTTTCCGTCGTCCACGACGAGTTCTGTCACATTGGTGACGTTGACCAATAGCAGCACAGAAGCTCTTTCATACACAGGTTTCAAACATGGCAAAACGAATGGCAACAGTATTCCTGCCTGTATGATGTGTCATCAAGGGACTACCACGACAGAACCAAGAAAGAAAAATGCTGGCGAACTATAGCAAAAGCGCTTCAGCAATGTTTACACTCTTGTTTTCGGAAGTCAGTCGCTAGTTCCGCCTTCTCTATGACATCACACGCGTCGTTAAAGACGGCACGCGATGAATGGTCGGGAAGCAACGTGTAGTCTGACATGTTTCTTGTCCACGACACAACAAGATTTTAGGAGTCAAAATCGTGTAATCTGGCACAGTGACTATCGTGACCGACAAAAATATCGTGTAGTCTGAACCTTGCATAAGGTCAAGTCTAGTACTTGTATTCTGTCCATGCTGCAAGTAGGTTGCACCTCGACAGATAGTTAAACAGGATGAGGACTGAAGAAAAAGTCGAAACTGATGGAGTTCTTTTCCAGTGTTTTACTTGAAATCTTCAGTTGCACAACATCATTTTTTGTGAAACTATAATGCAAACATAAATTAAGTATAAAGTATGACTAAAAGTAATTTTTAGGAAAGAAAGCCGCAAATCTAGCATTAATACAAGAGAGAAAACAACAACCTTATTCAAATGCACCACAAATGTTTCTTTTTAAATGGCATAAAATACTTATTTTTTAACAGAGATGAAATTCAGTAAACAATTAAACTTATAGACGATAAACAGAAATATAGCTTTTATCAGGGAGACATCTGCTGCTGCATCACTGCTGTTGTGAAATTAAATATAAGATGGCGGCCATGACCTCTCACTTAAATCACATGATGCATCTTAACCAATAAAATAAACCCAAAATTAAATGACTATTTAAACAGTCAGAACAACTTGTATTATGGGATACAGAATTCCATGCAGACCTTATGATTAATTCAAAAACGCAGAATCATTCAGTAATGAATGATTACTGAGAAAGACACAGAGGAGAAAGGCACACTATTTCCCCATTTAATACTGTAAAGCTGCTTTGACACAATTTGCATTGTAAAAAGTGCTATATAAATAATGGTAACTTTACTTGACTAATAAAACACTGTTGTTTGTTGCTCAGAGATGCGCAACTGTTCTGCTGTGATCTTTGGTTTGACAATATTTTTGTTAACTAAATCGAGCAAAAACAGTCAACTGACAGTATTGTACTAAAATGTAGAGCTGGGCAACGATTAATCGCATCCAAAATAAAAGTATTTGTGTACATAATATATGTGTGTGTACTGTGTATATTATGTATATATAAAGACACACACATACAGTATATATTTTGAAAATATTTACATGTATATATTTATATTCATATAATTTATATTATATATAAATATATTTAATATATATACATAACATATTTTTCTTTAATTAATATGTATAATGCATATTAAAATTCATAAGTTCAGCGCTGCTTTTTTTACAGCGGAAACCAAGGAAAAGCTTTAAGCGCCACCTGCTGGCAGCGAGTGAATCTGCATCTCATTCAGCTTTGCTGTTTCATGCAGATATTTTTATTTATAGTTTCACAAAACTGAAGTCAAACCATTCTGTTTTTGTTTCAAATTTCGAAATTATACAATCTAATTTAGATTTAAAACTGCTCATGTTGCATGTATGCAGCATCTTTGTTTGGATCAAGATTAAAATGCAGTGGTTGCCTCTAATTTTAAAAGGAAAGAGCACAGACAAAGCCTTATTTTGTTTATATGAAGAGATTTTTTTTATTTGTGTTTTTTATTCCTTTGATTTGGGGTTTGTTTTAAAATTTCAATTTGGTTTTGTTATTTACATTTACATTATATTTAAATTGTGTCGTTTAGCAGACGCTTTTGTCCAAAGCGACTTACAAATGAGGACAATAGAAGCGAGCAAAACCAACAAAAGAGCAATAATATGCAAGTGCTATATTAGTATATTATTATAGTGTTATATTTCAATTTGACAAAGAAATGTGCAGCATTTTGTCCAAGCAATAATAAAAGGACACATTTAATTTATAATTTGTCTTAAATCTCATTTTGTAAGAAAAAAATTGTGAAATCAAAATTGTGAATCAAAGCGTCAGTTGAGTGAATCGTTACATCCCTACCTTTAATATATAAACATAACATATTTTTCTTAAATATATACATGCATGTGTGTGTATTTATGTATACAAATAAATATACACAGTACACACACACATGTATTATGTACACAAAAACTTTTATTTTGGATGTGATTAATCATTGCCCAGCACTACTTCAGGTTAAACTTCACTCTGTTGGCCGTGTCATGTTGCTTAACTAGGCTATATGTTATAAATATAAAAACTGTTACATTTACTGCAGTATGTTTCCTCTGTGTGCAGTTGCATTCATTTGTTTTGATTTCTCCTCGAGATTATTTCACATACAGACAGGCTGTGTGAGCTTGGCGTGACCTTGTTGTTACTGTTGATTATCCAATATCAATTGCTGTTTACACCGAATGTAATAAAATTAGAATCATTCTTGCCGAACTTTCGGTGCTTCCCTAATTAGATGTTTTAATCAGATTAGTTGTCCGGTCAGGCAAGTAAAATTCTCTTTCACTTGCCCCTTCAAAAATCCCGATAGCAATCATTAAGTTAAGTGGTCTAAATGTATTTATATGTATTTACATATTCTGTGGAAGGCGTAGGACCGAGAAATGTTCGTCCAATCAAAATCTTCAGTCCGAACTAGGGATGTCAACGATTAATTGATGATCGATTAATTGTCGATAAGAGATGCAATCGATTAAAGCTATCGATGGTCGATTAAGCCGTTTAATTTTGGGCTGCCTGCGGCTCATGCGCAAAACACGTGCGAGCGGCTGTGATTGACACATTTCCCTAGATAATTGTTTCATATTTGAAACAATTGGGTGAAGGTTGCAGGGCTGCGGGACACTGCGGAAGGATAGGCTATTCATTCCTACAACTTGTTAATTCGTTCCTACGACTTATTAATTTGTGGCCACTGTCCATGTTTCATTAATTTTGTTCCTTAACCCATGATTTAACTAAAATGAGGGAACAAATTAATACATCGAACGAATTCTTAATTCATGGCCATGAAATCTTTCATTTCCCTTCCGCATGTTTACCACAGTAAGAGATGTGAAAACAGTGATAAAAAGTGAATGACAATAAAATAAACCTGCAAAATTAGAGGGTTAGACGGTGAGGATTTAGGAAAAGTAATAATGCCTAAATATTATTGAATTTGTGGAAATTCGTGACCAAGAACAAAGCCGCATAAATGTAGGCTATATGGGCTCGAACGGCATCCAAAAGCATGGTCGCGATGTAAGATTTTCCAGGTAACCAAATATTCCTCTAATAAACAAAGCTTTTATACCACACTTGTCATAATCAGAGCTTATAATTTGTAAATAAATAATTGCTGGATTCAAAACAGCAATTAAATGGCGCTGTGACCGACACTGACAACACGTTTTCCAGGAGCATGCAACTAAACGGTGATGCCACAACAAAGAGCATCGTTCACAAGTTTCTGCATAGACCTAACTAGCCTAGGCACAGGTTTTCAAGCCCTGGGTCAAAATGGGATGCTTTAAGGAAAATGTATAGCCTATGTAGATGAGTAGTGTTTTAAAATACAATAACGAGCACCACGAAACCATTTAAAGAGGCGCGTTCAGCGGTCTCCGTGTCGGGATAGGAAACAGTCAACAAAGTAAAATGATCTCAAACGTACAGCGCGCTCTCTTCATTTTATCAAATGATCATAATCACATCTACCTGCCTGTCAACATATGTATTTGCATACCTCTGCGCACCCTGTTCGTGTTTAACCGGCTTAACAATAGTGGCCTATGACTATGTGTGCCTGGGTTACCACGCTGCCCATCTTAACTCTAATCAGACGCACACGATGTGTAATGTTCATTAGGAACTGAAATTGGCACACTTTCTTGAGTAGTGGCACATGCTTCTTCTGAACTAAATGCTGCAAAATCATCACAGCAAGAAGTGAACATGCTTTTTAGCCCCATTGCTGTTATGCGTTTTGGGAGACATGAACACTTGTGCATTCAGCTTAGCCTTGAACTCTGCAATGGTGCTCGTGCTTTTTACACTTTTCACTAATTGTTCAGCTATTTATGGAAAGAGCAGTAACAAAATAATTTTGAAGCTTGAAATTCCCTCCATCTGTATGCAAAGTGACCCACATTTGTGTTGACCACTGAAAATAAGTAAAATTCAACAGTTTGGACATGGAGCTGCCTCCCAAATCTGTTCATTTAGGTATGCATTTCACCATGCAATATCTAAGTTTTTGTAATATTTTAAAGTCTTTTCATATTTCAAGTCTACGGCTGCCCGCATTTACCTCACATCATAATGTATATTCCACTTTGCTTTTCAAACCAGAAGAACGAAATAGCTAGAAAAATGTTCATTTTCACCTTAGTAATAAACCTGTTAACATCTTTACGTCGCAATATTGCCTTTTTGTTTTAAACCATTAAGGCGAGCTCTTAATCTCGTTTTATAATCTTTAAATTATAAAACACTGCATTCTGTCAGCAATGTAACGCGGCAGTAACGTATGGAG